CTAGCTTGTCTGGCTTCTGAGTTCGAAAGACGCAATTTGAACTCTTACATGTCCATAAGTGAGAAATCAGTGATTGTAGAAGCTGAAGCAGATGTTTGAGAATGGTGCTCAGCCGGGTACCATTTTCAAAAAATTTCAGTCTCCTGCCTTTCTAGTTTCCGAGATAAAATGGTGGCAATAGTTTTGCATTTCCAACTCATATCGGTATGTGAGACATAGGAGTGCTGTAGGCTGATGTCACGTTTTTTGGGCCGCAACTTAGTCAAGAAACACATTTGTAATACTTCAGCACCCTAACCTTTCTGTTTGCTGAACAGGAAAACTTGGGCAGTTATTAGAACATACATGGCCTTAGCAATATGCGTTTGTGCATTGCAGCACTGATGAAAAAACATATTAGAAAAACTTGTATACGTGTCTGTTCCGATCATTCAACTCCAGAACTACAAAAAGAACCCGTGAAAAGAAGGATTTCACAAAAACAACGCTTTTCGTTGTGACGGTTTTATTGAAGTCTCATTACTGTCACTGTTACAGAAGTAGCAATGACTCTAGAACGATTCAGTGCGAGAAATTTTAGGTGAAAAGGAAGAACTACTGCCAATGAATGTATATGAAGATGAGGAAGTGGGAATGGACACAGAACCTTTATCATCGTTATCGCCAGCACCAACTCAACAAGAAGGACAAGAATTGTCTCGCAAAGTTAGTTGTTCCGTTATAACAACTTTTTTTTTTGATATTCGAAAGCAGAATTCCTTTAACAATTAAATCCATAAGCGACATGATTGAGAGCGAATCAGGAAAAACACATTTCGAAAATTCCCAGAAGCGCAACGGAAAGATTTTTTTAATTGTTATTTAACACTCATGCACCAATACATCGTAATAATGATGCATGTAAAACCTCCTGAATGAACTTATTTTCAAGGGCAAGAAAAATACGAAAATTTGTGTAAACAACTATGAAAACAGATCTATCTTGTTCGTTTCTTCGGATTAAAAGCTTCGCAAAAAATAATTGTCTGAACAAGAAAAAGCATGTTAATTTGCGGAAGGAATAGTTCTAGCTGTCTTGATCAACCTATTTAGCACTGAATTTCAAACTTTAGGCTGATAATGACTACTTTCGATGCCACTGTTTGACTTCAGACATTAATGGAAAAGTAGAGGTTTTTTTCTCATCGAATGCTTAAAACACACACTTATTTGATGACAAGTAAATAAACCAAATGCTTCGGCAGTTATTTGATATTTAATGGTAATTAAAATATTAGCCTAAAACGACTTGATTCTTGATTTATGCAACGGGCAGTTTCTCCATTTGCCTTGATCAATGCTGCATCGTTTGGTGGTCAGTCTGCTGGCAGACTTTGTGCTCGTTTCGTCTCCTGCGAGGGTTACCGGCTAAAAGATTCTTCATGTGCATAATACCACAAGCTTGAACTAATTAAAATATATTTCCCCCCTCCCCCCCTCCCCCGGCTCCGGACCCCCGGATTTCATTGTGTCTCACTTTAGTTACGATCGAAAACGTATGAAACATAATGTTAGGCTGAATAAATTATGTGAGGGCTCACAGCATCGTTTCCGGCATTCATTGGTTTCATACATTTAAAACAACCAGCTTTTTCCTTCTTTTATCACTGTAATGTGGGAAATGTTGATGCTGCTCTGCTTATGTTTTACGATCGAATTTTTGGGAAAGGAGAGCAAGTTAAGCAATTTAAAGCAATGCATTTTCAAATATCGTACGTTACAGAATTTTAGCCTGCATCAGGAGGTAGAATCTGATTCGTCAACCAATTTGGATTCAGATACAGATGACCACTATGATCCTGCAGAATTTTATCATACCCCGCAACCGAAACGACCGCCTCCAACAGAAAAAGGTAGCTTAGTTTTGTAGAACGATCAGCGTCATAACAACGCTTTTTTAACGAGTTTCTGGGTCGCTGTTGAAAAATTTCTCAGTAGAGCCAAACTAGAAAGTTGTAGCTTTAAGTTCTTGACAACTGTTAAACCAGTAAATTTAATACTAGTTTTAGGATGATCATAAAAAGTAGGTGAAATCGGAATTAAGTAATTAAGTATTACTTACTGCTACACCAAAATGTCCAATCTTGCTTGATGGCAGTGAGCACTACACTCGTTCTGTAATCTTTTTCGTTTCGGAAAAAAAAATGTGACATTCTTTCTAAAAAACGTGGCATACCTTCTAAAAACAGTGCCAGATTTGAATAAAGATATTAATGGGTTATATATTATAAATATAAAAATACATTGAAGAATAATCAGATGAATAGAAATGCTTCAGTTCATTAAATAGCATTCATTCTCCTTCAGCACAACAACTAGACCTCGTTAATACGACAGTTGCTTGTATAAGGGGCAATATAAAATAAATGCGTATTAATCTGTAGAAGCGGCTAAATTCCTAAATATTGGAAAAAAATTACAACTTTTTACAAACTTACCAATGGGTAGTTTGTTGCTTGCCAAGTGCTTCCATCCCACCAAGTGATCAAAATTGCAGTATTAACATTCTGTACGAAGGAAATTGCAATTCGCGATAGGCACAATTTGGTAATTGCATGTGGTAGCGAAACAGAAATTTGGGTACCATATCGATGCCCATCTGGCAGCGAATGCTTCCTGTCCACCGATTCTAGCTATCGCATATGTTGCGCCGTTGCAGATTCTGTTCGGTATGCATAGTGTAGGACTGCGTCAAGTAAAATAGTTTTTTTTTTTTTT